GTATCAATAGGCAGATGAATGATATTCAAGGTCTGACTGTTGCTATCTACTGATTGTGTTGTGTATTATAAAGAACTTAATTTAAAGCCAATGCCAGAAAAAAATTCTAGAACCAACCATTGATATTTTTAGCCGAGGAAGGATGTTGCGTCTGATGATGCCAGAATTTCTTTGATATAATTGTAGTTTTATGCCAAGTATATGTCAATCAGGTAATCATGTTATTGGTTTTGATCTTTTTTAGGATGTTGGAGTGCGAATCCCCAGACCGATGGGAAATGGACCAAGTAGATTCATACCAGAGAAAGAGGTTAGTGTTATCATCGACCCTGCTGACTGTAAAGTTGGCCTCTCTTTTGTCTTTAGTTGTGCATTAACAGCATTTATTATCATCAAAGTGTAGGGAAGGTGTTTTACCAGCAGCACTGAATTCCTCAGGTTTACCTCTCATCTTTATTTCCCTGTTGTCCCAGATACTTCAAGTCAGTAAATTGGATGAAAGAACACAGTCGATTTTTGAAGACGCCTTTGCAGTGCTCGGTCGCCTTGACAACATCTCCTTGGTGATAGGGTTCCATCCTCAGTATCTGGAGAGCTTTCTTAAGACACAGCATTACCTGCTTCAGATTGACGGTCCCTTGTCTCTGCACTGCAGACATTATATAGGGATAATGGTGAGATGGCAGACTATTATTTTGTTTGCAGCTCCAAAATCCACAGTGGCAGATTCTTCTAAAAGCATGTTTGTGATCAACAGGCTGCCGCCAGACACCAATGCACATATCTGGTCAACCTGCACGTCAATGACTTCCTGCAGGTTGGGGGTGATCCCAAGTGGTTGAATGGTCTGGGAGAAGCTCCACAGAAGCTGCAGGCTCTTGAGGAGCTCAATAAGATCCTGGCCCACCGCCCTTGGCTGCTCACCAAAGAACACATCGAGGTATGACTTCAATGCCACAGTCACCCATTGGCACTCGCCCACAGCTGTTATACAACTTTAATGACCGCAGAGAAGTTTTATAATGCTCTGAAATATTAGGTCAGGTTGGTATCAGTAGATAGGAAGTTAATTAGCTTTAACAGAGTTGCCATAATGATTTATGTGGGTACAAATGTATTAATTTATTAAAAAATACATACATACAGTGATTTGAATGGACCTCTTGTATGATGAGCATGTTAATTTATTTAAAGAATATTGATTAAATAAATTAAAAGAAAGTTCATTTCTGAATACATTTTCATTTTGATATTTTTTTGTGGTGCATAATGTCAAAAATGTCAGGTTGATTCAATGTCATAATTAAAAGAATGAAATTCTTAAAAAGGAAGCCGTATTAAATAGTTGGATGTAATATTTTGGTCACACTTACACACTTAGGGTACAATTCTCACTATTAACTGACTATTATCTATGACTTTTGCCTCAATAAACTCCTAATTACTGCTTATTAATGGTTAGTAAGGTACATTTAGGTATTGGGTATGATTACGAGTGTAGAATATGGTCATGCAGAATAAGGCATTAATATGTGCGTTATTAGTACTAATAGTCAATATCCTAATAATATGCATGCTAATAAGCAACTAATTAATAGTGAGGATCGGACCCTAATCTAAAATGTTACCAATATTTAATTATTGCTTTTTACGATATTGCTTCACTGCTGTATATTTTATTATTAGTAGTATTTGTCATATCATGTGATCATGTCTCCAAACAATTTATGAATGAATAATTCATGATATTTGTAAAGAAAAGCTTTTAACTTAAAAATCTATTTAAAAAAATATTTACATTTTCTAAAACAGTAAATAAGACGCATGTATTAAAGGTGTAAGGACATTTTTATTCCTTCTACTTGATGGTTTCACCACATGGACATGAGTCATTAAATTGAAACTTGAAAATGAAACACATTTCGAAACCAATATCAAGAATATTGATATTGGTTCGAAACCTCATATCAAGAGGGTACATTTCTAGGAACCTAGCACGTTTTAACCTAGATGTTTTTTTAATTACAGCATCTACTGAAGGCAGAGGAGCACAGCTGGTCCCTGGCTGAGCTGATCCACATTGTGGTGCTACTCACACACTATCACGCTCTGGCTTCATTTACCTTTGGTTGCGGCATCACCCCTGACATCCAATCAGATGGAGGACATACATTCAGGCCACCCTCGCTCAGCAGTTACTGCGTTTGTGACATTGCCAATGGAAACAGCGCCCTGGAGGAGATGTTTGGGAACCAGCAGGTGAGACTGATGGAAATTGATTTAAGAGCCTTTATGATATGTGCAAGTCTTCCGTCCATTTGTTCTGAAAAGGGATCTGTGAAATACATGGAGTGCGAGGTTCAAATTCCTTACCATACAGTGTGCATACAATGTGTAATGACCTAGATTCCTGTATGTGTGTGTTTAGGTGTCGGAGTCGTCTGGCGAGGTGGAAGTGCTGATGGAGAGGATGAAGCAGCTCCAGGAATGCCGTGACGAAGAGGAAGCCAGTCAAGAGGAAATGGCCACTCGTTTTGAGAGGGAAAAGACAGAAAGCATGCTGGAGGTCACCTCTGGTAAGCGGATTTATGATTATTATGTTAAAATGCAACGAGAGGATGACCTGTATTAAATCACCATGTTCGGTCAACAGAGGATGAGGAGTGTGTACCATCAAGGGATGTTTCACGACACTTCGAAGACCCTAGTTACGGCTACAAAGACTTCTCCAGGAGAGGAGAACATGTACCCACCCTCAGAGTGCAGGTGAGAATAAAGCCAAGTTGGCTTGGGTGTCAAAGGAAATGGAGGATTAAAAATAACAGTGGTATGTTTTCTGCCCTTTACAGGACTACAGTTGGGAAGACCACGGCTTTTCCCTTGTGAATCGGCTGTATCCGGATTTTGGACAGCTTCTTGATGAAAAGTTCCAGATTGCATACAATTTAACTTACAATACAATGGCGACCCACCAGGGTGTGGACACCTCTATGCTCCGTAGGGCAATCTGGAACTACATCCACTGCATGTTCGGGATTCGGTCAGTCTCTCCACTGCTCACTGTGTCACAAATATGTAACAACATTGAATATGTTCATTTGTGCTGTAAAAATTAGTTTATTGTTTGCCATTCTATTTATATAATGTCAATAACATGTGTGTGGACAAAAATAAACTGACAAACATGAAACAAGTTTTATATTAACAAACTATATATATATATCAGTGCTGTCAAATCGATTAATCGTATCTAACAAACTTAACAAAGTTTGTATTTATATATGTGAATAAATATTACATTTGATACAGACATATATATATATATATATATATATATATATATGCATGTATACATACAGTATATGTATTGTTTGAAATTCAAGAATAACTTTTATCCACTTCAAATGTCGATTAATGTACATATATAAATATAATAATATATATACACACTCACTCATATATATATACACAATTGTTTAAGTTAGATGCAATTAATTGATTTGACTGCACTTTATATATATATATATATATATATATATATATTGTATTTAGATTTGTATTATTATTATTATTGAGTTTTTTTCTCTCTGATTATTTAGTCAAAGTGCTGAGGTACCTTTCCCTCTCTGTCTATTTCCTGTTAGGTACGATGATTATGATTATGGAGAAATTAACCAACTGTTAGACCGCAGTTTTAAAGTCTACATCAAAACCATGGTGTGCAGTCCGGAGAAGATCACCAAGAGGATGTACGATAGCTTCTGGAGGCAGTTTCGGCACTCTGAGAAAGTACGTAGCACTTCAATAACGAACAGACATGGATTGTTTCAATGGATTTGATTTAGTTAATAAGCATTCTTTCATTCTGTCTTTCAGGTCCACGTTAATTTGCTTCTTATGGAAGCGCGCATGCAGGCAGAACTGCTCTACGCTCTGAGAGCTATCACTCGCTACATGACATGAAGTGCTGTTCTTGTCTACCTTTTTTAATTTTTTTTATTGTTGTTGATGTTGCTACAGTGGGACACTTCAATAAATGTAAAAAAAAATGGAAAAAGAAAACTGAGGAAGAAGAAAAAAGCTTGAGCAGCGGTGGAAGACAACGAGGAGATTGTTGTCAACTGAACCCACTTGCTGAAGAACTTGTGTGGCTGCTCAGCCTGCAGTGCCAAAACTGGCCACTGGGTGCCGTCTGAGCAGACTCAATCCCTCAAGTGTGCAAGAGGACAAGCTGAGACTGCGAGCTTCGGGAGGCCAGACCTCCTTTAGTATTTCAGATGCATCTGCGATAAGATGCCATATAATCATATCTTCTTTTTGTGAGATGAGATTAAAAACACACACACACACACACAAATAGCAACTCCAGCACCGGTGCAGATAGACTGCACTAACATGCCTATCTTCTAGTGTTTTTTTCCATATCGTTTTATATTGTTTTTATTTTATTTTCCAGCAGTGGCTAGAGATAGAAACATTACTGATTTTGCATAAACGCGTGCCTAGTCATGCGCAGCACTGGCAGCAGATGCCGAGGTGCCGTCTGTTCATGCTGCTTTTCTCAACTGAGAGGCCTCAAAGACACCCAAACCATCACCCAATTGTATAAGCTAATCCAGGAACGATTGTGTTATTGTGAGTGTGAGAGCGCAATTCAAAATGAATAGCTGCCTGAGCCCTTGTTAGAGTTTACTGTAAGGCACCACGTTGTCTCTTTCGTGACATATTCAATGTGTGAATGGGCGGGGAATCCATCGACTCCTTTTAGGTTTTCATGCATTGAAAATATCAAAGCACTTTTTAAAAAAGACAAATTTTAAGCTTCAGCTGTTATGTAGCCATTTTGTCTCAATGACTCTTTTATATCTTTTTTTTTTTTATTTGTGTTAGTGACTTTCAAAGTGAAAAGGTCTTCCTTTTGTGACATGCTTCCTGTTGTCATGCCTTATCTGTCTTCCTTTTAATGCACGGTCATCTTTTCGTTGTTTTTCATTTTGAGGTTTATTATAACCAAATACCTCCTGTTATGTATCCTTAAATAACTAAGTGCTGTCTGGTGAGCAAAACTTTGTCTTAAGTGGCTGCCTGTCGTAGGCTACAATCTGTACAGATCTAGACGCTAAGAACCAGGCAACCCACATGACTTCACAGTTGTGGGGTTAAACTATGCTTGTTCTCATTCTTAGAACTTCAATCAGTGTAACTAAGCAGTTTTGTTTCGAGTGTGTGTGCGCGTGTGTTTTCTTTTCAAGCGGGGTGGATTCTCTGCTGTCTTTATTTGTTTACTAAAACCAGTTAAGTACTGCATTCTGATGATGGCAGGACTAGAGGGATGGTACTTTTTCCATTGGAAATTGAAATGAGGAGGGTTTTAAGTCAGACTTGAGAGACTTATGTCAATTACTGACCCTTTTATAAGAGAATATTTGATTAAAAAAAAAATAAAACATGGTATTTCACTGGTTGTATCATTTGTAATTTAATCAAACGTTTTCTTTCTTCCCAGAAAGTCGCATTACGATGATACATTACACCAAGAAAACATTGTCATTCAGTATTAATTGCAACAAAAATGATTTGAGCAGTCTAAACACCTCATACCACAAGAATTGAAGGTCTTCTTATTCTTGTGTTTTTGCTTATAAAGAAAATAACACGCTTTAAAGTATCAATGATGTAGCTTTTAGGTCACATAATCAATGTTTTCATGTCCATAAACATCTACTCATCTACAAAGACCCTTGTAGCACAGTACATCATCACAGAGACACTAAGGCCTATAGAAAAACATCTCCTGCTGTGCACTAATGATTTAAACACACAACTTTGAAGGCGGCAATTCATCTTCTCACTGCGAGGATTACAGGAAGTAACTGTTGACCTGAGAACAATCCCTGTTTGCATAAATAATGAAATGTCCCCTTATGTTGCTGGTAATTTCCCTGTTTTATCTGTGGCTGTGAGGATGGTGGCCATTCAGTGCCAGTAAAGGATCGTTGTGTGGAAATCACCATATGGTAGTTGTTGCTCATTTTCAAATAATAATGTGAGAAGTCTAGAAAACAATGAAATACCCTGCTCTTTTCTAAAAAAAAAAATCCTTTAGCGATTGTCAGTTAAATTGCTTTAGACTTTACACACTGAACATTAATAGGAAAAAGTTCAAATCACATTGTAATTCCAATAAAATTCACAAAATCATGTTTTCGTCATTGGTTTTTAAGCATGTCATCTCTATGGCAGCTGTTTAAACAATATTAATGTATAGACTAGCTGTAAAGTGTAACCATCAGGGTAAGAGGAGGGAAGCAAGTGCCATATTATATCAGTTTGATGTGATTGTATTAGGAAGGTATGACTGTTTCTACTCGGTGTTCTTTACAGACTTTTCTGGAAGTGTCTGTTTAATAAAGTCTTTGAGATCACTGAGAAGCTCATGAGTGATTTTTACACGCACAGTACATCAGTGTGGCCTTCTTTACACATAGACTTGCTTTCTGCTATTTCAGCTATTGTAAATAGAGCAGCATCAGGTTGAATAATAAACATCTGACATGTATTTCATTAAATAAATATGTTGGTCGTAATTGACAAATTCCTTATTACCATTCAACTAATATGTTCAATATACACACTGTCTCACCCCTCAATGTGTACATACTGTATCAGTGGAGTTTACTGGAATGATTCCAGTAGTGTCTTCAATATGTAAACGTTGTCTTAGCCTCTCAGCAACAGGCAAAAAGAGCAGCTCCCAGCATGCTTCCTGAACCTGTCTGACTCCATCATCAGAAGGCCATTGCAAAGCTCCTCTGTCTGCGCAAAACAGAAGACAAAACATTTCATTTGTGTCCCTAATGACATACTGTATACAGTTACAGTATACTATGCACACTACCATCTAGTATGGATTTTATAATTTCGTTTTTTCATCATCTATCTTCATCTATCGCTGGAAGTGATCTCTCGCGCGTCTACGTCACGCTTTGTTTACACGGAGATTTCGGAAGTTTTACCCTTCACTAACATATTTAGATATACGGGAAATCGTAATGCAAGACGATTTCGATACGTCTGGAGACGGTTCAGTCAGTTCGGTTCAGTTGGACATCTGATTCAGATCAGTTCGACGGCTGTTAACAAGAGGTAAAAAAAACGTTTTCTCACACTTGTTTCGTCAATGTGTACTTACATTTACGAGTCATTAAATCATGTTTAATTTGGACTTCTCCGTGCATGCTCTTTGAGGTGGACCCCTAAAACTGCATTATTTGACTGACAGACAACACCGGTTTGACCGAAAGAGGTCAAAATTGAAAATACTGTGGAAACAAAGACCTACATCTTGGATACCCTTGAGGTAAGTGAACTATCCATTTAATGTGGGACTTTGTGTGCGTGTGAACGTCATGGCAACGTACAACACAAAGTACCTCACGCAGTAAACAACAATGTAACGTGTAAATGTGCGTACTAACCAACGTAAATGAAGAAAGCTAGTATGCATAGGCCACAAAGTGTTGGCGAAATAACACATTAGCGGACCGGAGGGAATAATATGTATTTTTTCCGGAAAATGTTTTGCACAAAATAAATTCAAGCACTTTCAAGGTCGTTTATCTATATAAGGTTAGTTTCAAAAACTTCATAAACTTCAAGGACCCGTGGGAACCCAATAGTTTTCTTTGTATTGCTTTATGCAATTTTTGCTTCATATACTATGATATATTCCAGTTCTAGTGATTGTGTTTATATGCACCTGTGTAGAGCTGTAAGATCTCCAGCAGCTTTTGAGAGTGTTGCAGCTCTCCATCTAAACAGAAGTTCCACAGAGTCTGACACAGCACAGCGGCCAGATGCCAGTCCCGAGGCCCGAAATCACGTAAACAGTCAATAAGCCTGCAGTAGGAAGAGTCAGAGAAAGCACAGTACTTAAACAATATACCGTACAGTAAAAAAAAAAAAAAAAAAAAAAAAAGCACACTGAAGAGAAAGGCAAGTTACTTCAGAATGGTTCCCTCGACCCTCAGTGCGGCCCTGTTGTCTGGGTCTGCAGATAAGTTGATGAGAACTCCACATGCAGAGAAACACACATCAGGGGTCTTGGAGTCCAGAAGGGTTACCACAAACTGTTCCACTGACACATGAAAACATCAGTACAACGTCAGCCTCTGGGAGATCTGAGACAGGCAAACTAGTAGAAAGAACGTCTCAAACCTTTGTGCTGCATGATGAAGTGTCTCACTTCTCTGATCTGCGACAGATTTCCAAAAACACGCGTGGCCTCCAAAACAGCATCCATACTGGAGCTCAGCAGGAGCTTTAGTAGCACTGCAATGGCAGAAGGACAGACAGGAGGGGGAAATCACTGAAGGACAAAGACAGATGCAACATTCAGGGTGTCTTCACACACACACACACACACACACATCTTACACTGTGAGATCTGTGTGTGCTGGGAACGGACCACAGAGCTTTCACCCTGATAGTAAGACAGGTTGTTGATGGTGGCCACAGCATTAATCACTAACTCTTCACTCTTCTTCACACACCTGCACCCTGAGAGACGAAACAAGAGCAAAGGAAACAGAAAACTTGATCAGTTATATGCCATCTATTTAGAATGGCACATTTAACAGAATAGAGATGCACCATTATGATTATGATGGATCATTTATTATCCATGTTAATTTCCTTCCCTTTTTTATTGCATTTGCCATCATCTAAGCTATTAAAGCTACTCTTTAAAACACTAAGAATTTAATAACACTGTTAAATCTAGCAAATCTAATTAATTTGAAATAAATTAAATGTTAACTGAAATAAAAACTTACTTATTTTATTGCAGTTAGTTGACAGGGCAGTATTTTTCATTTTTGTGTATTTTTCTTTTTTTTTCAACAATAACAATAAAAACAAAACAAAATTATTTAAAAATTTACATAATATTAAAAAAAAATTCAATTTCCATACTGCACATTAAAATGTGATGCATGAATTCACTTTGATTTTTTTGTGGGGGTTTATTTTTAATGTATTTAGACAAGATTGTTCGTCAAATCAATTTGCTTCTCTTAGTTTGTGACCAATATCAACAGGATACATTATTATCAGAGTAGGTGGTGAAAAATTACTGACTTTATGGCATTGAATCATAAATGTAAATGATTTGTTCAATCAGGAACAAAACAAGTTACTGTCTTTATGAATGAGTCATTGAATCATTCAACCAATTCGTTCAAAAACAAATGGCTTGGTGTTCCAGCGGTTTTTGTTGTGGCTTCATCTTAGTTGGCAGAACAAAAACAGACAGTAACTAAACCATTTTATTTCCATCCCACTGTCCTGGCACTTTTACGTATATGGGAAACAAATGTGCCAGTATTCACGTTCCATATGTGTGAAATGATTCACTTTTTGTTTTGACCAAAGTCATAAGACTATTTAAAGCAGGTTCATTCATTTATTGAAAATACTTTTACACATTTACCGGACTAGGCAAGATACAATAAGCTATATAGCAGCTGCCAGACGGTTTACTTCTCGGTATTGAAGATCATATCACTCAGAGTGCTAATCAGGTATCACTTCCCCCTCGAGAAGTTTCAAAACCATTCGTGTAAATTTCAGGCTGAGTACTTCGTGATAAATCCAAATTTGAGGTAGTCAGAATCTGAAAATGCGCATATATGACTGTAGTAAGATCCTGTATTTCTCGTTGAAAGTGCGGTTTGCTCTGTCAGTGTTTGTGCGTCACGCTGCAAAGCGTGAGTTTAGTTTCGAAACATCTTTTGTTGTGGCGAATGCTCTGTCATTGTCACCCTTGATTTCTCAGTTTCTTTTTCCTTCTCGATTTTTATTTTCATCATAACAGGATGTCATTTTAATGTAGCAGACATAAGGTAGATAAGCGAGGATGAATATATCTCCCACCCATTTCCTCTCTAACTGTCCACATCTCTGTTACTAAAAAACGACGGCATCCTCTAACCGTCATGTCTGTAGGAATCTAGCAGAAAGGTTTCATTTTATTTTCTCACATTCTAAAAACGATACAGGACAAATATTTCCACAGGACAAAAATCTCCCTCTCTATTTCAAAAAGGAAACACACAACCACCTTTTCACCCTAGCATGCCTGCTTCTGAAACTTCCTCATGCAGAACCAAAAAGGAGCTTGCATCCATCACCATAAAAACCACACTGCAACTCTGAAAACACAAGGCCGCTCAAATATAAAGCTATGCATAAGAAAAACAAACAGTTTACAGTGTGGCTGTTCTCGTCATTGGAGGGTCTGTGCCAGTAACTGACATAGAGAGAACATCGTGTGATTTGCACAGTGCAGAGCAACCAACTTGCACATTCAGTCAAGTTCGAGGAACTAAACTTAGTCTGAAACGTGAATCGCTTCTGATAAACATTGGTCACACGTAAAATGCTTTGAGAGTGACAACCGCATTGAAATGCATGAGTGAATAGACTACAGCATCTGTAAAGTTTTTTTTTTTTTTTTTAACCTTTATTTATCCAGGTAAAATGTTTGAGAACCACTTCTCATTTACAAACATGACCTGGCCAAGAGGCTACAGGAAAAAATAAGACATAATGTACAGCTGTACATAGTCAAACACATAACACTTAGAACAAGCAGCTAAATAAAAATAAAAAAGACAACAAAGAGGAAAAAGAAAACGAATAGAGTGCTTAAATAAGTGTGTAAATATGGTTCATGATTGTCAGCAGGAACAAGAGTCAACTATGTAATTTTCGAGTTATTGCTTAAAGGTGGAGATTGGGATCAGAGATGTAAGTTTCAGGGTATTGTAGTATGTTCCAGTCGTGTACTGATGCAAAGCGGAAGGCATTATGTCCAAAGGTAGTAGAAGTAGGGGGGATACTAAATTTAATCAAATTACTTGATCTTGTGTGATAGGTGTTATGAGCGGCATGAAGTAGGGATGACAAATAGAGAGGTGCCTTGCCCAGTACGTTTCCGTGTGGGATTTTCCTAAAAATGACTTTTGTTGAACGGTAGTAGAATGTAGAAGTGAACTAAACAAGTATGAAGAGATTCAACCAGGCGCTCAGGTGAAGTTAATCAGTGATAGGTGCTCTTGGGATAGGGAAAGGATCCACTGAAACAACATGCAGGTCCCAGGCACTCAATGAACGGATAAGGAGAAGGTGATGATTAAAAAGCCTTTATTAGAACTGGCTTATTTCATAATAAAAGCCTTTATTAGAACTGGCTTATTTCATAATAAAAAAGTATCAAGACAACATGTTTCGACCAACAGATGGTCTTCTTCAGTGCCAAGTAACACGCACAATGAGAATGACGTTTGTGCGTGTTCATTCATTCTCATTGTGCGTGTTACTTGGCCCTGAAGAAGACCATCTGTTGGTCGAAACATGTTGGCTTGATACTTTTTTATTATGAAATAAGCCAGTTCTAATAAAGGCTTTTTAATCATCACCTTCTCCTCATCCGTTCATTGAGTGCCTGGGACCTGCATGTTGTTTCAGTGAACTAAACAAGTGCTCAAAAGGTTGGGTGTGTATATGACATGATTATGTTTTTTACCCAGTAGTTCCAGTAGCAGCTGCACACACAGTGTGTTGGCAGCTAGTGCCGTGCCCACGGTGGGATGGATGGCCAGGTTGGCCAGCAGTCTGATCAGTTTGACCAGGATGTCCTCTTTCTCAGGGGCATGACATTGTTCAGATGACGATAGTGTTTCCTGGTAGGACTGGAAAAGATCTAAGAGGACATCTATCCCTCCTTCCTCTTCATAAACTCTCTCTCTGGCTTCATTGCTCTTGGATGTCAGATTTCCTAGCGTGAACAGGATACGCACTACTAAATCCTGCACATAAGAAAAGAGGACAAGTGTGTTTAGTAGGTAGTTGTAAGTTAAAGTGTTAACACGTAATAAATTACATTATATAAATAACATCTATGTGGTGAACCTGATTTCGCCAAGTACAACTTGTTCCTGGATCAACATATTTTGTTGATCCTGGAACAACATTCCAATCAACCAATCAGATTTGAGGGACAAGTTTACAGTTCATGTCAAGTTTAGGCTTACAATCAACCTATCATTTCCCTCTAAATTTAGGGATAACTTATGGGCAGGGTAAGGTTTAGGGATAGGGAAAGGGTTAGGATTACATTTTCAGACAGGGATGTTGTTCCAGGGTCAACAAAATACATTCCAGGAACACCTGGAAGGCATGCACACAGTGCATTTTATTTATAATTTATATTTGATATATTTCTTATAAATATATTTTAAAATAAATATGTATTTATTTATAAATCAAGCCAAAAAGGGATGTTTAACAAAAGTAAAGTAATAGGAGAATTGCATTGTGAAAAAATAAATAAATAAATAATATAATATATATATATATATATATATATATATATATATATTTGTTTTTAATTATTATTTTGTTAAAGTGAAATGTCACCCATAAGAAAAAAAAACTGCATTCATACAATATGAATGCAAACACCAGAACTGCAGATCTGTAAGTGGCATACATATCTAAAATGTGCACGGTAATATTTGGGGAACTATAACTAATATAAATATTAATAATTGTATAGTTAACTATAACTATGCAATTATTTCATCATTGCATATTTTCATTGAGTCCCATGTTGTATATCCAGTGCATTCTTAAGCTGTTTCAGAAAATGAAAGCAGCACTATATGTCGTTTTTTCAACCTTTATAATATTTTTCCAAAACCCTTGAGATGGTACATCGACTTACAATAGGCCTGACAGTGTCTGTATCGCTTTTACTGGCACTCTGTAACTTCGGGGAGCGGGTAGGAACCCGAGCACAAAAAGAACTACAAAATTCGACTGCTTTACGGCATACATCACTTCCCCCACTTCCTCAAATTCCGAAGCGAGAGCCCAACAAACGTTTTTTTTTTTTTTTACCTCTGTATGTTGTCACGGCTGAAGCAGCAAGTAAAACCAAATGTGAAGTTCGTCAGATGGTAGCTTGATATTATAATATTGACGACATGGCTATTATCTACCAACAAACATTGAATTGTATTAGCATGTCCATTATGAAAAACAGTAGCCAATAGGCTAACGTTACTATAAAGACGCTGACTTGTAAAAGTGAGAGCAAAATTTAAAAAATAACAGAACGCTGCTTTAATCTAACTAGGTCTAACTATGAAAAACTCATGAGACTAATTTTCATTAAATACTTAAACAAACTAACAGGCATAGTGTTTAGTTTCATGGTTGATCCACTTTAACCCACACAAATATTTCTTGCGAATCCAGTAGCCTTTGGGGAACTATTCTATCAGACATTTTAAGCTGTTTTTTTCCCTCTCCTTTCTGTTTTCATTTAGAAAATACAACAAGTGGAGTGCAGAAAGAGACTTCTGCCAGTAGTCTAGTGGACAGTTTGTCCCTATTTGATAAACAGTGTGAGACTCTAGTTTATGATCCCTAGCTAGCACGTAGTGTGAACCGTGTTTATTCTTCATGAGATGAGGAGCACATGATCTCATTACACTCAGTGCCAGAAGGAAAGAGAGAGTACAACATCTGAACTATCTGTACCGAAATAAAACCAGCAGAAAAACACAAACTCCTTCATAGACCATTGCTCAAGTTTCACTTGAGAGCAGAAAGGGGAACATGCAGCCTATATGCTTACATCTGTGTGCTTGTTTCAGTTTAAGTCAAAGCGTGCGTAGACATGTACTTGATCCAAACTCACCTGTTTCCTGCTGTGTTTGCCTAGAAGGTCCAAAAATAGGCTGCAGCAGTGTGGCGTCTCAGCTAGTGCATGACAGCATTCAGTGTAGGTGGACAGCTTGCTGGAGACAGCACACACAAACATATTCTCACACATCACATGGCACAACTTTATCAACACTACTCAGAAAGCTTCAAATAAACCTAATTAGAACTTCTCTCACCTGGTGGATATTAAAAATGTATTTATATGGCAGTGCATTATAAAACACTAAACCAGTGGTTCTCAACCAGGGGACCCGGGCCTCAAGATGAACATTAAATGACTTAACTACGTTACTCAAAATCTAAGATACTACTAAAAATGAAACTTTTTTTTTTGAAGAAGAAGAAGAACTAGGGTTCCCACAGTCTTGGAAAACCTATATATATACATACATAGTCTAATTTTAAATATATTATTTCTAGACCTGGTATTAAAGTATTTTAAGTTAAATGAATAAAATTCATGTGTATAATAAATATAGATTCAAGTTTTCTAGTTATGCCAAGCATTACCATATTTTATCAGGTAGATAAAAAGATAACTTTACCAAGGGAGCCTTGGATTCAAAAAGGCTGAGAACCACGGCTCCAAACACTTGCTTCGATCCTCACCTGAATATTCGGGCCACATTAATGCAGATGTCGAGGTCATTACGATGGTTCTCCAGAATCAAGCAAAGAGTAAAGAATGCCTTGTTGGACAGGAAGGAAGGCCGAGACTCAGACTGGTCAGCTATATTTCTCAAAGCTGCAGTGACCTAGAAAGGGTGAAGAGGTCAAGACTGTGTGTTTGGTAACTGAGGTACTGTGCAGCAGGTGTGCCCTTGAGCTTATTATTGCCTAATTGGCAGAGATGCATATAAAAGAGGAAGCACTTATAATCAAGAAGAAATAACAGAAGGCCTTGAAAAGTGGCCTCATAAATCTCTCCATCAAGAGCTTAGGACACTGATTGGGGTACATGGAGGGTGCCTGCTATAGAGCTGCTTGGCCCATAGGGCTGCACTTATATAAAAACCCTCATTTCCGTCTGCCAAAATGCTAATGAGTGGCACGGCAATTGCCACTGAAAATCAAACCATGCGTGCCAAGTTCAGGAAGTTTGTTTGGGCAGAGTTAAATAATTCCCTGTGAAACGTACTTTGTGCTGGAAGAGTATAAAGTAAAATATGGACACGGGGAAGTGGAAAAAGGGTATCCTCCCAGACAAAAGCAGAGGAAAAGGACATTAAAATCTGCCCTTTTTTCGACCCTATGCAACCCCACCCTTGTGAAGCCCTCACATTTTGTTTTCCGTTTCGCTCCCAGAGCAGAGTTCTGAGAAACGTCAGGGTGGGGTTTAAGCATATTCTATTCCTCTGGTTTTAAAGTCTTAAAGACACAGATTTACCATGTTTGCAATGCAAACCTATTTGAGTATCTATGGCGATGTATGTCTGTTGCACAAAGCACTATTCCAGCACATACTGTTGGGGGAGCACACGGATCATGTTTTTGAGACAACAAAATACATCACAGAAAAGTCTCTCTGTGTTTTTTAAAGGGAAAGTTCACCTAAAAATTCAAATTCTGCCATTATTTATTCACCTTCAAGTTATTTTAAAACTTTATTTCCGAGATATTTTGAGAAATGTCTCAAGAGCTTTTTGGTCCATACAATGAAAGACAATGGTAACCAAAACCGTTCCTCTTTAAAATATCTTCTCTTGTCTTCCACAGATGAAAGAAAGGCAATTTTTGGGTGAACTATCTCCTTTTTAGATGTCACATTTGATCCAGAAAAATGTTTCAGTTCATTTATGGGTTGCCAGTTTGCTTTGTTTCTGCTTTGTTTTAGTGTATATGGGTATGTGTGTGATTGCGAATATGATTGGCACATTAAAAACAGGGTTAGAGATGACAATAAAATAACTTTGACACCTGCCCAAAGACCACCCACCTGTACCAGTATGTGTCCTGCGATGATACGCTGGCCTTCTCCCTCTGACCTCTGTGTAGTTAAATTAGCTGAAATTGTAAATGGGCCATGCATCAGTCTCTTTGACAGCTGTAGCAGTGTGCCGATGAAGTCTTTAGCCAGCAGCAGACTGGAGATGGCACTGTTTCCTGAGAGGAGCTTCAGTGAGCCGACACAGTACAGCACGGCCTCACCTTTACTCCACACATCCTCACACTGTAGCTGACACAGAAGGGAGTCTGTGAGGAAACACATACAAACAATCGGCTGAAGTTAGAGAGTTATTGAGCTTAGGGAGTCTAGGTGAGTTATACAATAATCAGGTCTAACCTAGGATGGAGTCGGTGAGGAACATGACGTCGTTACTAGCATTCCGGCTGATTTTGAAGATGAGTTTGCAGATGTTCAGCAAGTTGTTTCCACTCACATTGAGCTTGTAATATAGACAACAGTAAATTATTTCAAATTTCAGATGTTTCAGACCTTGTAAAAGATTATGATGTTTAAGACAGCTGCACAGAACCAATATATATATATATATTTTTTTTTATGTATTTGTCAGTTTCTCAGCTACCCTCTGAAGGCATTTGTTTTTCCATATATGTATTTGGCAAATGCATTTATATGAAGAAACTTACACTGCATTGAATACATTTTTGTATGTAAGCTCAGTTTTCAGTTCGGTGGAATGCGAACCCACAATGAAAAATGAGTTAAATTAAAAATACATTTTTTAAATACAGTTTTAATATATGAAGAGTTCAGATGCAAAAGCTTTTAAATGCCATTTGAAATTTTCTTCTAAAATGACCATTTTTATCAAGCTTGCATATTTAAGTTCAGTAATTTCACTTAACAATTAATAGGTAATCTTCATTGCCATTTAAGTGAAATTACTGAACTTAAATATACAAGCTTGATAAAAATGAGTATTTTAGAAGAAAATTTCAAATGGCACTTAGAGGCTTTTGCATCTGAACTCTTCATATGTTCTTTTTCATGTTTGTTTTTTGTAATGTGCGAGAAGTATAAATGGTTTAAATGAGTACCGTTTTCACCAGATTTATTTGTATTGAAACTAATGAGGGTAAATTTGACCCAGACCATAGTAATCATATCCAGATTTTTAACCAAATACAAGGTTTAAAGGTCATATTTTGTGTGTGTGTGTGTTTATATACTCACTGCCAGAATAAGTTTAGCTAATGTTAAGTTAAGTCGGTCCGATCCCACATCTATAAGTCTGAAGAGTGTTCTGAGGATGGCGGACCTCTTTTTACACTGCCTTCCCAGCATGTCTCTCTCCGCTAGGGCGTCATGGAGACCATTGCATGAGTTACACAGCTGTCCCACAATCTCATCTGACACGCCATCACCTATAAGGATTGTTTTTTTTGTGTGTGGGTTAAGAAACAAAACCCCATCAGTATTATGTTCCAGTGCACAAAATATGTAACAGTGTCATGGTCGCATTTCAAACTGAATGTCTCACACAGTATTAGTTGCAGCATTGTCCCCCCTTCAACTGTCCCTGTGAAGGACAGGGAAAGAGGAGTAGTCTGTGGGACACACAGACTCTTTCACTTAGCTGAGTAGGCTTACTGACATTTCAGTGACCCACATGTCAACACCCACTGACAGAGTTAACATGGCCCTTTAGGGCATATCCACCCCCTCCCCCTGTATGGTATGCAATGCATCATTAGTGTGTATATAATAGCTCTTTACTGACATTCTGTACTGGCTTTGAGCATGACAACATAATATGTCAAAGTTTTAAGTTAGATTAGACTTCAATTGAGTGTTCTCCTGGGCTCAATTTTAATCAATATTTTTCTCTATTCATCTTTGCATCCAGAATACTTATTCATTTCTACATGCTTTTTAACCATTCTGTGCACTGGCAATGCTTTATACTTGCTGGATCTAACTTGCCCTTAGGGGATAAGGCAGGGGCTGCGTTTTTCCAAAGCTATTTTCGCTAAAACAAATGTTGTTTCTCATATCTGTTTCCAAGATGGTTGGCATTCTCCCCAACGGCACCCTTCGATGATGCCATGGAGAATATGAATGGTATTTTATGCATGAACCGAGAGGCTCTTGGCACAATAAATATTTGATATTTATCTTTCAAATGAATTTTTATTGAATTTTCAAAGTGCTTAAATATTTACTGCTATTAGATTGCATTTCAAGGTTCCTTTCTACCACATGCTTTGACTTTAAAAGCTTATACCATGCCAAGCTCAACACAAGCTTTGTTTTTATTCCTCTGCAGTCTGCATTCAGATATTGTGTTTTCTTTCTCCCTGCAGTTTGCTTTCACTCTGGGACACATTCAAGTGCTGAACTGCAGCTCCTTAGTACGAACTTGCATAAGCACAGTGTTGTATTCGAGACCACCTCACTCGAGTCCGAGTCGACACCGAGACCAGAGAGAGTCGAGTCCGAGTCAAGACCGAGTCCATAGAGAGTCGAGTCCGAGTCGAGTCCGAGTCCATAGAGAGTCGAGTCCGAGACCAGAGACCAGTGAGGGTTGATTACCTAATTTACTTTTATTTACTTAGAGAAATCCTTTTTTTTTATTTTACTGAATTTACTTAGAGTTTAAAAAAATATGATCAGTTTAGGGTAAAAAGGCCACATAGTAGGTGGTGTTAAAAGTAATTACAATTTGTCATGCGCAGTTGCGCACTAGAAAATCACCAATCACTGGGCGTGTCAATCAATTTAAAGAAATATTTTATTAACATACATTAATAATCATGAAAAATATTTTTAATTGAACTCGAGTGGACTCGGGAATAATTCCGAGTCCTAAAAAAAAAAATGTTCGAGTACGAGTCAATTCCGAGTCCAAATGGACACAAGTCCATGACAAGACCAAGACCATTAAAATATGGTCTCGAGACCGAGTCCGAGTCTCGAGTACTACAACACTGCATAAGCACAATCCAAAAACCACAGAATTAGGATTATCTTTCTAAATTTAAAGTCAGTAATAGGGGGGAAAAACTTTTGTGAACTGTTAAAAATCTGTACTCGGATGAAAAGCCATCAGGTATCAATCTGAATGCTACATGTTTTTGAAGCTGTTAAAATGGCATTCAGGTTTTTCCTACCCTAAATTTACACATTCAATTAAACATACATGCATTACACTTCAATTAAAAAGTAAAACCACTGCTAAGAAACTAGTCATTTTGAAATGGTTGGTCTGATGATGAACAGCACAACAGAACGTGGCCCTTTGCTCTTTAAGGTTATCATATCATTACTTGACTGTATTAAGCACATACATAAGAGTTATTTTATCATCACCTGGGGCAAAGGACTCAAATTCTTGAAGGACAGGAAGGACCTTAGTGTTCCAGAAAACAGATTCGTCCATGTTGTCATCACAAGTGTCTCCATACCCAAGCCTGGCTTCTACAGCAGAAATACATGTGGGTTTTAGACAGACAGACAGTCAGATAAATATTTAAATAGACAGGTAGATGTACTTTATTGATCCTGGAAGGGAAATTCAGACAGTTCACCCCAGCAGTTCTTAAAGCATATGGATGTAAGAGTGTTCAACATAGCATGAAAAGGTCAGAGCTTCACGCCCACATGTCTTTTCATTAGTGTCTGTTCTGTTCAAAAGCGTCTGTGAGCATTTGCATTGTGGACGAGCTGCAGGAAGCAGTGGGTTGCAAAAAGAACAGATAAAATGATCAGCAAGCATCTGTATAAAGAACCTTGAGAAACTTCTGCAGCAAAAGTGGTTAAGGTTTCCAATCCGATCAGATGTTTGTGACCACTGGCAAGATTGTGTCAGGAGCAAGATTTACAAGATTGTGAGAACTTTGCTTTGTTGATCACGTGTTAGTGATTTTAAGTATATATATATATATATATATATATATATACACAGTACAGAAATAGCAATATACCTGGTTTTGATTCTCTTTCAGTGGATACATCAGTTTGCGGGATCCTGCTAATCACAAACATACAGTGAACATAATGTACATGCAAACCAGACAAAAATTGTGTTTGAAACGGTGGTTAGATGAACAACAAAGTCTTTTAAAAACACTTGTGAGGATATAAATGCTAAATATGTACCAACCTAAATACAAGTATGTTCAGTGGGTACTTTTTAAATACATCTCAAGCCTCAGCATAAGTTACATCTCAATACTTTTTAATACAATTTCATGGAATACTCCTATTTTCCTTGCAGACACAAGAGGTCACTGTTGTGATATCCTGATGCAGAATTTTATTGCCTAATTTTTTGATTTTATCTTTTACTGTGAGCAGTGTCAAAACCAGTTACTGGTGAAAAATAGATAACGTTCAAAATGTGCATGTGTAAATGTTCATTAAATCATGTGTGTATGTGAGGGCTACTGCAAGACACAGGAAACCACATGTTCATGTGATCGTTTCAGAGTTAGTCATACACTGTCACTGTGAATTTTATCTCAGAAATCAAGATAACATTAACACTGTTTTAGTCTGCGCTATCATTAGTGGATTAAACTTACAATGCCTCATATACTTGTACTGCCTAAAATTCACATACTTCTATAGTGAACTATATTGTAATCTTTCATCTTTATCATATGTGGCATGGGTATTTCCTAAGGATTTTTAATAAATGATGGTATGGCGAGGCATTTTTGAGGCATTGATCATGTTTGGGCTTTGGACTGTCTCGATAATGCCTCTTTGTTGATGGGATGCCTCGGCCGAGACGTGATCTCATCGTGTGAATCTCAAATGAGACTGTACTGGTGGTCAACAGACCAGTCAGCCTGCCAGCCACAAACGGCCTGCGTGATCTAATATCGCTCCATTAGCAACTATAACAAGGATACGGTAGAGAAAGGAGAGAGAGGCTTGTCGCTAGACTTTAACTTACTATTAAAGTCCAGAGTGTCTGTAAATGCATCCAAATTGGATGCAATGCATTACGATTTTCATAAGTGCCCATTCTAGGCAATGTATTAATGAGAGAGCTTGGATCTGAATAAGTGAACCTTTTAACGTGATCTTCCTGATAGATTACACAATTCTGTTGCATGTAATGGAAGATGTGCACAAAAGAGGATATCAAACTCAGGTTATAAAAACATTGGTAATGAAAGGATTAATGCCGCTGGGATCTACTGAACAAACAAGTTCACTCTCTCTGAACAGGGTGTCCTGTGAGTCAATAGCACATAAAAATGGTTTATTGCTGTTATTAGGAACAGAGCAAAAATCGATTTACTGAGTGAATTTGATGGTGTATTGACAGTGAAGGCCCAAAGCTGATTTCAAACCTCTGAATGTACAGTAAAAAGAGTAAATTAAATTGATCTGTAACCTTCAAGTAAGTATGCTCAAAAAGCATACCTGTGTTTGATAAGTGTGTGCAGGTCAGTTTCGGAGGACGATTTTGTTTTATGCTCTGTGACATCAGCAAAATGTAGCTTTTCTCTGTCATCTGGTTGGTCTACTTCGATCCTTGCCTTTTGAGACATATCTGAACAGGCACACAATAATACAACTTTAAACGGTCAAAACAGTCAAAAACAGTCAACATTTTCTTTAATCTTAATGATTACTTCCATGCAGTTTGACAGGACAAACACACACATTTTGTTTTCTCAAAACAAGCAAACTCAAGGCATACATGGCACGATGGCAGAGTAACATCCTAGGGATATTGTAAACTGATCTATATCAGATTTTTGGAATAGTCTATTCTTTTCGATTTGGTGTGAAACACTTTAACAGCTAGCAGATTGTCATAATGTTAAAGAGGGTTATCAATATGCCTGACAGGCGAATAAGCACTAATACTCTATAGCACTTTATTTTTTGAAAGATGAAGTATCCCTGTGAAAATAAATTAAAAATAGAAAAAATAGAAATATAGATGAATAAAAACACTTTTATTTATTTTCTTACTCTTTGTGTGTGGTGTCATGAAGGGCAGTCGGTGGGTGGATGCTGCTCTAAGCAGTCTGGCACGAGAACCTCCTGATCCAGTCCTGGTATTCCCTCGTTCAGCTGGGGGTTTGGGGAGAGTTGCTTCATTGTCACCGCACTCATCCAGGGACACAGACAGCCTAGGTTTCTAGGAATGACAGAACTCTTCAATTATTATCATTCCCTGTTTTTAGTCAGACAAAATTTTGAAAAGGCTCTTACATGTTCCAGTGGGCTGAGACGAGTTCCAGAGCCAGGCCTGGAGTCAGGAACTTCAAAATGGCGGCCTTGAAGACTAGAAAAGAAATTGTGAAGGCGATTAAAACCAGCATACTAGTTATGTGAATAAGCAAACGGTTAATATTATAATTCAAGTACTTCATGGTGCAACAGTCAGGATCTGGAAGTAAAAAAAAAACATTAATATTCTCCATAGGAGAATTAGTTTTTAACAATAATTTATAAACTTAAAAGACTTACAAAAAAAACTACATTACCCATCATTCTGCAAAAAAAACAAAAAACAGTAATTTTATATTTATCATTCGCTTCGTGGGATTGTAGTTCTTTCTCACATTAACTATTAACTTTTGTCTAATTTTCAAATACTTTTTTACTTCACATCAAAGTTTGTAATGTGAGTCACCTTGGTCGGTTCATGTCTTATAATTCTTAAACGAAGACTTCTTAAAAAATCCCAATGGGAAACATTATTTCAGAACCAAGGCTACTAAAAACGTAGGCGGGTACTGTTGCAAAAATCCATTAAAATATATTATAATAAGCATTAAATACAAGCAAAACAAGTGATAAACAAATAAGCTTATTATCTCTGATGTTGTTTTACCTGAATGCAGATGGTGGTCGTCCATCATGTGCACGAGAAGAGGATTCCCCAAAGAGCTTCCTATGCTTCTCCTGAGGTGTGAAAGGTCGCTGTGTGGCAAGAGTTCTGAGAGAGCGACGGGCCTCTGACACTATCTCAGCACTTGTCTGTCTCCTGAGGCCATGATTCATGTGGACATGCTCACTTTCGTCCTGCTGGAGCTCCATCCCAGACATAGGGATGTGTACCAGTATCAAAAGCCTGAGACCTTGACCACTATTCTATAACCAAATGTGGTTGGAAATATGCATAACTATGATAAAAGGAAGAGGAGCATTTATATTTGAAATAAAAATTCACTGCCTCTTTGAAATATAAAGATTTAGCTGTCCCAGAAATCTGACATTCTCATTTTACCTCAGTCTTCACAGTGGTTTGTTGTCCTGTAAGACTAGTTTTCAATATTTAAAATTGTATTACTTTAATTTAACTGTAATTTTATATGCACCCCGCAAACACGTGTTCAACTGTTTATAAACCGGAGTCAGATCATTCAGTGCAAGGCAAGAATGCGCGTCCACGCACCGTCACCATGGAAACACACAACGCTGCTACAGTACCTCGGGTGTAGCAAAACAAAACATTTAAGACATATACCGTAAAAAATAAAATAAAAAAAATAAAAACTCGTACAATAAACAAATTCATATCGATATCTTAAATTCAGGTGATGACCAACAAAACAACAATAATAATCTACGATACTCTATCATATATCATAGTATCAAGTGTTGCTTGCAGCCGACTTAATCAGATGTAAACATACGACAACAACAACAAAATATCACCCTTTACCTTGATTTCCAAACGAGCTTGGGTTTCACGGTTTTAAAAACATCATCTATAATCTGGAAAGATGAGCGTGTCTAACACATAGACTGTTAAAAAAAATAGGTCTGACAGCAGAAAGAGGGACGCACTAGTCAATCACGGCCACGCGCATGGTCATGTGACACACGGAGGCTTTTGTTGTGTGAAACCTACTTTATTTCTTTGCCATCTTTTCTTAATTGTTAAGAGTTAGAACTAAGTAATAAGGAATTGTTACCAATAAATACATACATTGAGTACCTTAATGTACAGGTACGTGTTTTAAATCTCGTGAGCCTCAGCATAACATCCAACGGAAAAAAGGTGAGACTATTTTTCAATTCAATAACGTTACCATTCAAAAACTTTGACCTATTGTTACGAAAACGAAGTACATTTATTTGTATTTAGAATTAAACTAAATTAAGGCTTCATTCATATTCCTCCCCAAAACTCATATCCCTGGTGTTCAATTCAAAATGCTCAAATTTAGGCCCACAGAGACATGAGGCGATGCGTAACCACCATAGACTGTAAAGGTAACAACCAACCACCCACGAGAGATGTGTGAGCTGACAAGTGAGCGGATACTTATATCCACCCATAATGACACTTAAAAGAGGAAATTAAAGCTATTAGTTTTAGCCTTGTTCTAATGAGGACAATATCTCAGGTTTATTGAAGTAACTTAGTAGGTAACTTTTTAAAGCGATAGAATTAAAATGCTGTCATCGTTTAACGTTACTCACCCTCATGTTGTTCCAAACCTGTATGAGTTTCTTTTCTTCTGTTGAACACAAAAAAAGATATTTTGAAGAATGTCGTATCAGACCAAATCTCCTCTTTTGTGTTCAACAGAAGAAAGAAACTCTGACAGGTTTGGAACGGCTTGAGGTCGAGTAAATGATGACAGCATTTACATTTTTTCAAGCATTAACTTATGCCTTCAATAGAGTAAATACACATTATGCAAATAGTGGATAATGTGTTTGTCTTTTGTAAATGAGACATCTGTTTTGTCTGTTGTGGTTTTAACAGTCATTTCCCACAGAAATTAAGTCTTCTGAGAATCTGTCCACCCATTGGCTGAATTGTATATTAGAGACATCAAACATCCTGCTGTAACAACAACAACCTTTATTTATAAAGCACTTTTAAAACAATAAAAAAAATGATCCAAAGTGCTGTACATAGTGCATAGCAGCAGACTACACTATAAAAAACAACAACAATTTACAAGTTTCCAAAAGCTAAAGAATAAAAATGTGTTTTCAGAGAGTAGATTTAAAAATGATCAGACAATGCCTTATAAACAAACATAAGGATCTTAAACTTAATGGGAAGCCAGTGAAGGGATGCCAAAACAGGAGCAATATGATCCCTGTTTCTAGACCCAGTCTTGCAGCTGTATTTTGAACAATTTGTAATCGAGATAATGAAGCCACAATAAAGAGAGTTGCAATAATTGAGTCTAATTGAGATGTTATAAATGCATGCAATTCTAAATCTTTGCTTGAAAGAAGGTTCTTGAACTTTGCAATATATCTTAAATGGAAAAAGCTTCCTCTAATAACAGCACTAATTTGTTTATCAGAAATAATGAAGAGTCAGCCAAGGTGACTTGGTGTAGACTACCTATAGACCATTTCACAAGATGTAAACACTGGTCCAGAAGCACTTCCTGTTTCAGTTTTTTAACACTACATAAAAGCTGGGATAAAATACAACCAACAGAACATTTAAAACTGAATCAAAAGTTAAACAAACATCTTTAAGATGTTTTCTTTACATGTGAAATAAAGAAAACAGTTACAAACTGAAACAGGAAGTGCTTCTGGACCAGTGTTGTTTACATCTTGTGAAATGGTCTATAAATAATATTAGTAAGCAAATTCACATAGCCTACATGAAGGAATAAGGACATTTTCTTCATGCAGTGTTGAAATTATCCTCTAAAATTGTTTAGTGGGTTATCTCAAAACTACTCTGCAAGCAAGACTGACACACTATACAAACCTTCTTCTCTGTTCCTCATGAAGTAAAATGCACACATGAGCTGTCTTTTGGCTAGGCTAGATTTAAATAACTCTACAAGCTTCATTCTCATGGATACAAGAAGCCTCATTGGTGTAATGTAATTAGAGGGGCTAGCCAATAAGGAGTTTGTACAAGAGTGCTCATTGGCCAATGGCTGCATAGATTGCCCTCTTTCATTGTCACTAGGGGAGTGTGGTGCCTGCCAAGGATGGCAATTTCGATAACAGTATAAAGTGCACTGCTTTTTTTTCTGCCTGTCAGATTTTTGATAAGGCTTGCACGAGGTGCATACATCTGTATTTAGAGGACTGCATGAGTGGTGTGAATATAATTATCTTGTGAACCTTGACACATAGGGACACACACACACCACTGATGCTGGTTTCTCTTTTTCTACGTCATTGAGGCAAATTGGTTTGCTTTGCAAGGACCATCATTTTTCTGGCTGCTGTCTCCTTGGCAACCAGTTCCTTATGGGCAGTCTTTGGACACACATTGACTCCCTCACCTGGTGAAAAGGAGAACGCAGTGATGGCTCACGAATCTATGATGAGGAGGTTAAGCAATGTGTTTGCTTAGACTTAACACAAAGTAAAAACTATCAAACACTTAGAGCTTGTGTCAACATGTGGTCAAGAAGCACTACAGTTTTTGTTTTGACCAAGCACAAAGAGATTTCAACATTTGCTTTTGTGCAGACGTAATAGGAAACTATGCCATGTTTAATTGAGGATACCATGAAGTCACCATGAAATCAAATTTGACAAGTCTCTTTACTTTGATATATGTCCAATAGGGAAGAAATAAAGTTGAATAAAGAATATAATGGGATAGTTAAGGTTCATCACTGTCAGGCTGTTGTATATCATATGCTGCTTTGCATATTTATCTGTGTTTGATCCGTGAAATTAGGATAGAGGAACAAATGTGGCTGGAAATGTCACTGACCAAGCTGACCAAGATGCCTCAGTGGTGGTACAAGTAACCTAATCCCAGAATACATTGCTGTCATTGTCTCTTCCCAACACATACTCAATCACTTATTCTACCTCGCTTGACACAAATAAAAATACCTGTGTGTCGTACCAGACAAGTTTTCGTCCGCTCAGTATAATTAAAAACACATGGTCAAGCATACTCAAGTACTCGAACCCAGGATAGTTTGTCAGGTTAAAAATGGCATTGCTATTGGAGCCATAACCTCGTGGCCAGTGCTCTGACCAATTGTGGAATGGATATTGTGTGTATATATAATGTTTCTATGAATAAACCTCTGTAGTATTTTGGAATTAACATGTATAGGCCAGTTATGTGCTGTGAATCAATTGTTATGCTTTCCATCTAATTTGCTGTGAGATAAAATAGCGAGAACAAGCTGCTGACATTGCCATTTTCTTTTCTAACAGAGTGGCTTTGATTATGACGCAGTGATGACAGACTGCTGATTGACTTATCTGCTGGCCAGAAAAGGCAGCCACAAACTCTCTAGTGGGGTGCTATACATTTCAAACAACTAATGAATCCAGTTTCGGTTGGACAAGATACAATGCTGAGCACGCTAAGCTAAGGTAGGTGAAGGGATGGGATGGAATTTGAGGTTGAGTAGTGATGACAGCAGTGACATAAATGAACTTTTCTATTAAGGGGTGATATTTACACTTAAACTGATTTCCAAGGGCATTTTTACCTCTATAAGAGCATTTTTCTAACCTTAATAAATGTATGATTTTTTTTTTGTTAAATTCAGTTAGAATAATAAGATTTAGGGCTGTTACCAATCAAATGAAATCAGTATCAACAAAATCTATATTTGGACGGCAGATTTGCAACAGAATCTACATCTGAAATTGCATTTAGATGTTTTTACAGTGCTGCACATACCTGACATGAATTTTTCCTGAATGAATGTATTTGAACTGTGATTTCAGTTGCATTAATAATACAATGACAATGTTTAAATAAAATTTTGAATATAGAAAAGTTAAATGATGGGGGAATATACATAATTTGTTTGAATATGAAACTAAAACTGCCTGTAGGTGGCGGCAAGTCACTGTATTAATGAGTGAGTCATTGAGTCATTTAACTGTTTTGTTCAAAACGGCTTATTCATTCATGACCAAAGCAAGTGACAGCTTTTAGGAATATGTCATTGAATCATTTACACAACTGATTTGTTCAAAATCAGTATTGTAACACCTTTACAAAGCTCAGAGTTGATAAGGATACATTATTATTATTTTTGTTGCAAAGCAGACCAAAAACAGACCAAGACAATATTGACAATATTGTGTCTAAAATGTAAGTCACTTCATATTAATTACAGAATTTTTGTATAAGTATCACATTTACAATTGTGCTGATATTCAGGAAAAACAGCACTTTGGGGTTTAAAAATGTATACAGGGTAATTTTTGCCCCAATATCTTGAATTTTGGTGACATTTTTTCCATTCATTTCCGACACTGGATGGTAGTATCCTCAGCTGTGACTTTTGTCAGTGCAACATACCTCTGACACCCTTCTAAGGAAGTGCACACCCTGAGCCAAAAATGTCCCATTTTATCAACCCAGCCACACCTATGTGGACATAATGTAAAGGTATTATCAGACTAATGCACACTAATAATGCTGTTAGATAATTGGATGGAATCTTCCAGTAATGGAATGTTGGCACAGCTAACACTCATTAGAGCTTAATTATTGTAATCACAATAGCAGGTGATATGATGTAGTGCTGTCACCACCACCTGACACGCATGTCACCTGACCTGACACCCATTCACAGTATGTGGATGAAGTGCTGTACATGTAGTCAGCCAACACTGATGTACGGTACAAGACTTCCTTTTAATTATTATTTTCTGAGGTTTATTTAAGGATTTCATTGGATGTGAACACAATGGGACTCTTTGTCTTTGTTTATTGTGTTTGTGGGGTGCTACACTATACTGTTTGATTTCCCCCTTTATCCTGACCCAAGATTTATGTCGGTACAGCCCAAATCCCCCCTTCACTGCTGATTAGAAGGTTCCCTAAGGACTGTCATAAAGGTGCTCTGTCTATT